TGGCTGTATCTGGGGTCTATGGTGTGAGCTACTGTGCATATTTCTTACAAAAAAATTTCCTATGTTGTGTACCTACTAGAATTGACACGATCTAAAATGTGAATCCATGGTGAATCTATGGTTCATGCATTTCTGACCGTTTTTCAGGCTTTTTGTGTTTTATTTGTTTGTTCGTTTCTTGTGTAGGAGTAGAGCTGGACCTCATTGTACCTGGGAATCCTGCAAACAAATAAAAACTGGCGAGGCTTATGAGGAGAATGGGAAAAGCAGAGAAGCCTCAGGGAGGACCTCATTGCTCTCTTACAACTACTTCAAAGGAGATTGTAGTGAGGTGGGGCTTGGTATCTTGTGCTATGACTCAAAAGAAAGGATGTAATGGCCTTAAGTTGCCCTAGGGGAAATTCAGACCATATATTTGAAATTTTGCTTTTTCTCTGAAAGAATGGCTGGACATTGGAATTGCTTGCCTGAGAAGTGATGAAGTTGTCATCTCTGGAAATGTTCGAGATGTGGCACTGGCAGTTATGGTTTAAGGGTAATTGTAGTGGTGCTGGTCTGGAATAGATGACCTTGAAGGTGCCTTCCAACTTTGATGATTCTGTGTGAAACATCAGAAAATGTCTTATAATTACCAGAGTGGGAGAGCAGTTCTCATCCATGCCTTGAAGGTGCACATCTGCTAAGATAAACACTTTGCTAAATTTATGTTTCCCGGAGCTGGGAATGAAAGAAATGCTCTTTTCCCTGTGGCTACAGATATTCTTCAGTCAGAATTTGCATATCATCCATGATGAAAAAAAAGGTTTGTGAATGCAGAGCTGGATGACAAAAGGGCTGGATTTGAATGAGGAAAATCAGTGGATCARTGTGTGCTTGGCTGGGTAATGTTTTGATTTCAGGCCTGGTGCCAAGGTCTGTSCTATGTTTCCTTTGATCCTGGTATCCCTGTTCTGAAAGGCAATGCCAATCCTCCAGCAATGAAGTATTTCCTAAAAAACTGCAGGTAGAGCCATAATACTTATGTAGAATGGCTTATAATTTCCCGTGTGAAAATGTCATTATTCATTTTTAACTCCCAGGAACATAGTGATGTAGAGTGTTTTCATCAGTTGCATTTAGACTTTCAGGTCATTGTCTCCTGTAAGGTAGAGATCTTTTCACATGTTTCTAGTCAGTGTTTTTGAAACTATGACTTGGTTTGACAACAAGTATCTAATTCAACCACCAGGAGAGAATTTTGCGTGTGAGGAATATGAAGAAAAAGGGAAAAGTGAATCTGTTAGATTCTCTTAGAAGGGTGAGCTTGAGAAAGGGACCTCAGATGTTTTATATCTTTGGGGGGTCTCATAATGGAATTGCTGAGAGCTGATGACTATTTTTATAATGAACCCCTCAGCTACTTGGTCCAGTGTAAGACTTTAGGGCTGCACTTGCATCTTGAGGCCTCTTTCTTAAGAAAGAGGCTGAGTGACTTGCAGGTTTTCAGAGAGATTAATTCCAATGCCCACAGTGAAGACCAAGAAGATTTCCTGTTGGCTTTCTCTAACTGCCCTTGTCTTCTAATCCTTCCTTGCCTTGCTTGTCTGATTTTTCTTTTGGTTTTCTGATTCTTGGTTTTCTCTGTATGAAGTTTTCCTTGTTATTATCAGCATTGCTTCATTCAGCGATGCATCCTGTGTTAGTGCCTCTTGTTCATGCTTCAGCAGGTGTGAAAGGCAGGAGAAGTGAGAGATCTTTGAGTTCTGTTAATCTTGGGATGAATGGATGTACTCATGACTTCCGTGGTATCTCTGTGGAACATTGAGTGTGCTAAAAGTGGGCAGGAGATTCCCTCTGAGCCATTGGTTTGATGAGCCATTCTCTGCTGGATGATTGTTAATCTTTTAATTTGGTTGTTTATCATTCATGTGGTTTAGAATGCTTCAGTTTCTTCTCAGAATGGTGGTGAGCAGG